CCACCAACTCTGCTGCCATGTGCCACTTTCAGGTCTCTTCACACTGCTGGTGTGTTAAATTTTTTTGACATTAGGGTGCTGCAAGATAACGGGCCTCACATAGCTGCTGCCAGGCCCCTAATTCTGCCATGGGCCCCTATTTACCGCCTCCTCATGCTGCTGCCAAGTCCAGAGTCTGTCATGGTCCCTGTACGGCCTCCCATTGCTGCTGTCTCCATCGCCACACTCTGCTGCCATGTGGCCACTTTCAGGTCTCTTCACACTGCTGGTGTGTGGTTTAAATTTTTTGACATAGGGTGCAGGCAGATTACGGGCCTCACATAGCTGCTGCCAGGCCCCTAATCTCGCCCATGGGCCCCTATATACCGTCCTCCTCCTGCTGCTGCCAGGTCCAGAGTCTCTCATGGGTCCCTGTTTACGGCCATCCCATTGCTGCTGTCTCCATCGCCACACTCTGCTGCCATGTGCCACTTTCAGGTCTCTTCACACTTGCTGGTGTGTTAAATTGTTTTGTCGACATAGGGGTGCTGCAAGATAACGGGCCTCACATAGCTGCTGCCAGGCCCCTAAATCTGCCATGGGCCCCTATTATACCGCCTCCTCATGCTGCTGCCATAGTCCAGAGGTCTGTCATGGGTCCCCTGTACGGCCTCCCATTGCTGCTGTCTCCATCGCCCACACTCTGCTGCCATGTGCCACTTTCAGGTCTCTTCACACTGCTGGTGTGTTTAAATTTTTTGACATAGGGTGCAGGCAGATTACGGGGCCTCACATAGCTGCTGCCCAGGCCCCTAATCTGCCATGGGCCCCCTATATACCACCTCCTGCTGCTGTGCTGCCAGGTTCCAGCGTCTCTTCACACTGCTGGATTGACCTCTCATGGGTAGCTCCTGTACGGCCTCCCATTGCTGCGCTGTCTCCTGTAATTGCTGCTGGCTCATCGCCACTCTCTGCTGCCATGTGCCACTTTCAGGTCTCTTCACACTGCTGGTGTGTTAAATTTTTTGACATAGGGGTGCTGCAAGATAACGGGCCTCACATAGCTGCTGCCAGGCCCCTAATCTGCATGGGCCCCTATATACCGCCTCCTCATGCTGCTGCCAAGTTCCCATTAGAGTCTGTCATATGGTCCCTGTACGGCCTCCATTGCTGCTGTCTCCCATCGAAAAATAACCCACACTCTGCTGCCATGTTGCCACTTTCAGGTCTCTTCACACTGCTGGTGTGTAAAAATTTTTTGACATAGGGTGCAGGCAAGATTACGGGCCTCACATAGCTGCTGCCAGGCCCCTAATCTGCCATGGGCCCCTATATACCACCTCCTCCTGCTGCTGCCAAGTCCAGAGTCTCTCATGGGTAACCCTGTACGGCCTCCCATGCTGCTGTCTAACCATTCGCCACCTCTGCTGCCATGTACCACTTTCAGGTCTCTTCACCACTGCTGGTGTGTCCCCAAATTTTTTGTTACACAGGGTGCCCCTGCAGAGATAACGGGAAACCAGTATCGACGCGAATGCTGCTGCAAGGCGCCCTAAGCTGCCGATGGGCCCCACACTTTAAAAAAGGTCCGCTCCTCATGCTGACTGCCCAAGTCTAGAGTCTGTCATTGGGTCCTGTACGGCCGGTCCCATTGCTGCGGTCAGTAACATCGACCGTACGCTCTGCTGCCATGTGCCACTTTCAGGTCTCTTCAACATATGCTGGTGTGTTAAATTTTTTGACATTAGGGTGCACTGTATGGCATAGATATACGGGCCTCACATAGTGCTGCCAGGCCCCTAATCAGCCAAGGGCCCCGTTATAACCGCCACTCCTGCTAATCTGCCATGCAATGGTCCAGACGTCTCTCATGCCATGTGCACCGACCTTTCAGATTCTCTTCACATTGCTGGTGTGTTTACATTTTAGAGACATTAGCGGTGTCAGCACCGGAGATTACGGGCCTACAATAGCTGTCTGCCAGGCCCCTAATCTGCCAATGCCTTCTACCCCTATATACCGCCATTATCCTTCATGCTGCTGCCAAGTCTAGAGTTCCTATATGGGGTCCCATCTGTCACTGATCCCATGTGTGCTGTCATCTCATAGCACAACACTCTGCTGCCATGAAAGTCCACTTTCAGGTCTCTTCACACTGCTGGTGTGTTAAATTTTTTCATGACATTAGGGTGCTGGCAGATTACGGGCCTCCTATAGCTGCTGCCAGGCCCTAATCTGCCATGGGCCCCTATATACCAGCTCTTCATGCTGCTAAATGCCAAGTCAGATCCTGTCATGGGTCCCTGTCCGCTAACATCCGGTATCTCCTCCCATTGCTGCTGTCTCCATCGCCACACTCTGCTGCCATGTGCCACTTTCAGGGTCTCTTCACACTGCTGGTGTGTTAAATTTGCTTGACATTGGAGGGCAGGCAGGGGATTACGGGCCTCACATAGCTGCTGCACAGGCCCCTAATCTGTGCATGGGCCCCTATATACCGCCTCCTCACTGACTGCGGCCAGGTCCAGAGTCTCCTCATGGGTCCCTGTACGGACCTCCCATTGCTGCTGTCTCCATCGCCACCACTCTGCTGCCATGTGCCACTTTCAGGTCTCTTCACACTGCTGGTGTGTTAAATTTTTGACATAGGGTGCTGCAGATTTACGGGCCTCACACATAGCTGCTGCAAGGCCCCTAATATGCCATGGGCCCCTTATATACGGCTCTCCTCATGCTGCTGCCAAGTCCAGAGTCTGTCATGGTCCCTGTACGGCTCCCATTGCTGCTGTCTCCACCATCACACATCTCTGCTGCCATGTTGCACTTTTCAGGTCTCCTTCACACTGGCTGGTGTGTTAAATTTTTTGAATAGGGTGCAGGCAGATTACGGGCCTACACATAGCTGCTGCCAGGCCCCTAATCTGCCATGGGCCCCTATTATATTCCGCGACTTCCATCTGGCTGCTGCCCAAGCCTCCTTCAGAGTCTGTCATGGTTCCTGTACGACGGCCTCATAACCATTGCTGCTGTCTCCATCGCCAAATATGCTGCCATGTGCCCACTTTCAGGTCATCCTTCAACACCTGCCACGGGTGTAGTTAAATTTTTTTGACATAGGGTGCAGGCAGATTACGGGCCTCACATAGCTGCTGCCAGGCCCCCTAATCTGCCATGGGCCCCTATATACCGCCATGGCGCTCCTCATGCTGTATGCCTAAGTCCTGAGTCTGTCATGGTCCCTGTACGGCTCCCCATTGCTGCTGTCTCCATCGCCACAACATCTGCTGCCATGTGCCATCTTTCAGGTCTCTTCACACTGCTGGTTTGTTGTGTCTCATTTTTTGACATAGGGTGCAGGCAGATTACGGGCCTCACATTAGCTGCTGCAGGCCCCTGAATCTGCCATGGGCCCCTATTAACTCCTTCCTGCTGCTTGCCCCAGGTCCTGAGTCTTGCATGGGTACGGCCCATGTACGGTTCCCATTGTGCTGTCTTCCATCGCGGCTTGGTCTCTGCTGCCCATGTGCTAGACACTTTCAAGGTCTCGTTGGGCACTCACTGCTGGTGTTTTCCGAACAATTTTTTTTTTTGACATTATGCATTGCTGCCAGATAAAGGGGCCTCCATAGCTGTCGGCCAGGCCCCTAATCCTGCCATGGGCCCCTATATACCGCCTACCTCATGATGCTGACATCCAAGTCCATGAGTCTGTCCATCGGTCCTGTATTTTTTACGGCCTAACCCCCTACCATTGCTGCTGTCTACACTCCAATCGCCACACTCTGCTGGCAATGCCACTTTCAGGCTTCACAACATGCTGGTGTGTTAAATTTTTTGACATAGGGTGCTGCAGATAACGGGCTCTCCCACATAGTATTTGCCAGGCCACCCCTAATCAGCCATGGGACCCTTATACCGCCACCCTCCAAATGCTGCATGCCGGCCGTCCATGAGTCTCTCATGCCCATGTGCAATAACTTTCAGGTCTCATTCACACTGCTGGGTGTGTTTAATTTTTTGACGTTTAGGGTCCACCCCACCCCCCCTGGCACTGATTACGGGCCTCACATAGCTGGCTGCCACCCTGCCACTCCATATCTGCCATGGGGGCCCCTAATACCGCCTGGCCCTGCATGCTGCCTGCCAAGTTGCACCCAGAGTCTCCTGCACCCATGGGTCCCTGTCGGCCTCCCATTGCTGCTGTCTCCATCGCCCCCTCTCTGCTGCCATGTGCACACTTTCAGGTTCCTTCACCCTGCTGGTGTGTTAAATTTTTTGACATAGGGTGTGGCAGATTACGGGCCTCCCCTATAGCTCTGGCCATATGGCCCCTAATCTGCCATGGGCCCCCTATTTACAGCCCGCCTCCCTCATGATGCTGCCAAGTCCTAGAGAGTCTCTCATGGGGTCCCTGTACGGCCTCCCATTGCTGCTGTCTCCATCGCCACACTCTGCTGCCATGTGCCACTTTCAGGTCTCTTCTACACTGCTGGTGTGTTGTTAATTTTTTTGACATAGGGTTTGCAGGCAGATTACGGGCCTCACATAGCTGCTGCCAGGCTATATTTTAATCTGCCATGGGCCCCTATATACCGCCTCTCATGCTGCTGCCAAGGTCCAGAGTCTTCATGGGTCCCTGTACGGCCCTCCCATTGCTGCTGTCTCCATCGCCACAACTCTGCTGCCATGTGCCACTTTCAGGTCTCTTCACACTGCTGGTGTGTTAAATTTTTTTGACATAGGGTGTGCAGGCAATCGGAGATACGGGCCTCACATAGCTGCTGCCAGGCCCCTAATCTGCCATGGGCCCCTATATACCGCCTCCTCCTGCTGCTGCTCCAAGTCCAGAGTCTGTCATGGGTCCCTGTACGGCCTCCCATTGCTGCTGTCTCCATCGCCACACTCTGCTGCCATGTGCCACTTTCAGGTCTCTTCACACTGCTGGTGTGTTAAATTTTTTGACATAGGGTTGCAGGCAGATTACGGGCCTCACATAGCTGCTGCCAGGCCCCTAATCTGCCATGGGCCCCTATATACCGCCTCCTCATGCTGCTGCCAAGTCTAGAGTCTCTCATGGGTCCCTGTACGGCCTCCCATTGCTGCTGTCTCCATCGCCACACTCTGCTGCCATGTGCCACTTTCAGGTCTCTTCACACAGCTGCTGTGTGTGTAAATTTTTTGACATAGGGTGCAGGCAGAATAGGGTTCTATACGGGCCTCACATAGCTGCTGCCAGGCCCCTAATCTGCCATGGGTCCCCCTATATACCGCCCTCCTCATGCTGCTGCCCAAGTCTAGAGTCTGTCATGGGTCCCTGTACGGCCTCCATTGCTGCTGTCTCCATCGCCACACTCTCAGTGCCATGTGCCACTTTCATTGGTCTCTTCACACTGCTGGTGTGTTTAAATTTTTTGACATAGGGTGTGCAGGCAGATTATACGGGCTCAATAGCTGCTGCCAGGCCCCTAATCTGCCATGGGCCCCTATATTACCGCCTCCTCATGCTGCTGCCAAGTCTAGAGTCTCTCATGGGTCCCTGTACGGCCTCCATTGCTGCTGTTTCCATCGCAACCACCTCTCTGCTGCCATGTGCACTTTTCAGGTCTTTCACACTGCTGGTGTGTTAATTTTTTTGAATAGGGTTGCTGGAGATTACGGGCCTCACTAGCAGCTGCTGCATGGGCTCTATACGCTCTAATGCTCTGCCAGGTAGCCCCTAATATACCGCCTCCTCATTGCTGTCTCTTCTGCACTCTGCCAAGTCCAGAGTCTGTCATGTGGTCCCTGTACGGAAATTTTTGAATAGGCTGTGGCAGATATTTCGCCACACTCTGCTGCCATGTGCCACTATTTTAGCTCCTGTGCACAGTCTAGAGAAGTCTGTTCTGGTTGTGTACGGTTAAAATTTTTTGCACACTTAGGGTGCATGTGCCACTTTCACGGGCCTCACACATGCTGGTGTCCTGTAAAATTTTTTAATCTGCAGGCAGATTAGGGCTACCCCGGCCCTTAATTATGGGCCTACTATTACCGCCTCCTCATGCTGCTGCCAAGTCCAGAGTCTTTTCATGGGTCCCTGTACGGCCTCCCCATTGCTGCTGTCACTCAATCGCCACACTCTGCTGATGTTCCAAACTTTCAGGTCTCTTCACACTGCATGGTGTGTTAAATTTTTTTTGACATAGGGGGCAGGCAGATTCTGTCCGGGCCTCACATAGCTGCTGCCAGGCCCCTAAATCTTGCCATGGGCCCCTATATTACCGTAGCCCTCCTCATGCTGCTGCCAAGTCCAGAGTCTGTCATGGTCCCTGTACGGCCACCCCATTGCTGCTGTCTCCATCGCCACACTCTGCTGCCATGTGTGCCACTTTCAGGTCTCTTAACACGGCTGGTGTGTTAAATTTTTTGACATAGGTTGTGCAGGAGATTAGGGCCTCACATACAGCTGCTGCCCAGGCCTAATCTGCCATGGGCCCCCCTATATATCCGCCCACCTCCTCCTGCTGTGCCAGTCCAGAGTCTCTCATGGGTCCCTGTACGGCCTCCCATTGCTGCTGTCTCCATCTGCCACATCTGCTGCCATGTGTGAAACCACTTTTCAGGTCTTTCACACTGCTGGTGTGTTAAATTTTTTGACCATAGGGTGCAGGCCCGCAAGTTTACGGGCCCCAAACATAGCTGCTGCCAGGCCCCTAATGCTGCACTTCTGCACAATGGGGGCCCCTAGGATTACCGTTCTCCTATAAATTGCTCAAAACTGTGCCAAGTCCAGAGTAATGTCATGGCCCTGTCCGGCCTCCCATTGCTGCTGTTCCCATTCGTACCACACTCTGCGCCATGTGCCATGTGCCTTCAGGTCTCTTCACACTGCTGGTGTGTTTAAAATTTTTTGACATAGGGTGCAGGCAAGATAACGGGCCTCACATAGCTGCTGCCAGGCCCCTTCAATGCATGGCCTATGGGCCCCTATGCTGCTGCCGCCTCGAGTCCTCTATGCTGCCAGGTATTGCAGTGTCTCATGCCACACTCTGCCATGTGCACTTTCAGGTTTCTTCCACACTGCTGGTGGTGTTAAATTTTTTGTATGCAACAAAGGGTGCAGGCAGATTACGGGCCCTCACATAGCTGCTGCTGCCAGGCCCCCTCCCCCTAATCTGCCATGGGCCCCTATATACCGACTCCTCTGCTGCTGCCAGGTCCAGAGTCATCTCTCATGGGTCCCTGTACGGCCTCCCATTTGCTGCTGTCTCCATCGCACACACTCGTGCTGCCATGTGCACTTTCTGGTCTCTTCACACTGCAACTGTTGTGTGTTGTTGCCAATTTTTTGACATAGGGTGCTGGCAATTACTGGGCCTCACATAGCGATGCTGCTGCCAGGCCCCTAATCTGCCATGGGCCCTATATATACCGCTTTGCTCTCATGCTGCTCCAATGTCGTGGTCCAGAGTCTGTCACATGACTCCCTAAGGGTTACGGCCAAGTGCCATTGCATTGCTGTCTCCATCGCTCACAGTGTCTGCTGCCATGTGCCATTTAGGTCTCTTCACACTGTGGTGTGTTAAATTTTTTGACATAGGGTGTTGGCTGCAAGATAACGGGCCCTCACATAGCTGCTGCCAGGCCCCCTAATTAATCCAGCCATGGGCCCCTGTATACCGCCTCCTCTGCTGCTGCAAGGTCCAGAAGTCTCTCATGCCATGTGCACTTTCAGGTATTTCACACTGCTGGTGTGTTTAATTTTTTGACATAGGGTGCATGGCAGATTAGGGCCTCACATAGCTGCTGCCAGGCACCTAATCTGCTCATGGGCCCCTATATACCGCCTCCATGCTGACTGCCAAGTTCTAGAGTCTCCTCATGGGTCCCTGTATCGGCCTCCCATTGCTGCTGTCTCCATGCTCACACTCTGGCTGCCCATGTGCCACTTTCAGGGCCTCTTCACACTGCTGGTGTGTTAAATTTTTTTTGACATTGGGTGCTGGCAGATTACGGGTTCTATAGCTGCTGCCCAGGCCCCTAATCTGCCATGGGCCCCTATATACCGCTGCTCCTCATTGCTGCTGCCAAGTTCAGAGTCTGTCATGGGTTCCCAGTACGGCCTCCATTGCTGCTGTTCTCCATCGCCACACCTCTGACATGTGCCACTTTCAGGTCTCCTCAACACTGCTGGGTGTGTTGAATTTTTTGACATAGGGTGCTGGCAGATTACGGGCCTCCTATAGCTGCTGCCAGGCACCTAATCTGCCCATATGCCCCTATATACCGCCTCCTCAGTGCTGTGCCAAGTCCAGAGTCTGTCATGGGTCCTGTTCGGCCTCCCATTGCTGCTGTACACGGTAATCTGGTAATCGCCACACTCATTGCCATGTGACCCCCACTTTTCAGGTCTCCTACACACATTGTGCTGCAGGTGTGTTGAATTTTTTGACATAGGGTGCTTGGCAGATTTACGGGCCTCCCTATAGCTGCTGCAGGCCCCCTAATTGCCGTAGGCCCCGTCCTATATACCGCACTCATGCTGCTGCCAGGTCCAGAGTCTTCAGGGGTCCCTGTACGGCCTCCATTGCTGCTGTCTCCATCGCCACCACTCTGCCATGTGCCACTTTCAGGGTCCCTCACCTGCTGGTGTGTTCCATTTTTTTGTATATAGGGTGCTGGCAGGATTATGGGCCTACCCATAATCTGCTGCCAGGCCCCTAATCTGCATAAATGGGCCCTATACCGACCTCCCTCATGCTTGCTTGCACGTTGCAACAAGGTGGAATTCAACCCTACATATGTTAGACCGCCCTTGTTACGAAAGCAAAAGGCCATCACGATTTACACCTGATGTTAAAAGCAGATAAAAGGTACTCCCTGTTAACTTAGATGTCAGCATTGGAGCTCATGCGTGACATCCTGCGCTTGCTCTTTTTCTCCCCTTTGAGGAGGCCACGCTATTAGTTGAGTCGGCAGGACTATGGGATGAAACGGACGTCATTTTCTGTTGCACGTCCTGGAACAAATGCTGTTAACAATGGCTGGTCAAGGGTGCGGGTAGGACGTGGCCGCACAGATCTCACGCCACTATGGCCCTGTTGGCGGGCCAGGACTGGAAGAAGAGGAGGAGGTAGAGGAGGACATTGGTGCTCAGATAATTTTTGAGTGAAATGGGTGGTTTTTTCCACTCAGCGGACAGGGAGTGGAGGAGCTAGGAGCAGGCTTTGGTAGAGGAGGAGGACCCAGAGGAGACAGAGGACCTAGACGCACCACCGTGGCAGTATGCTGTGGAGATGGAGGCAGGGAGTCTGGAGTCCCTAGCTTCCTTGGCACAAATGGCCCATAGCATGTCCTCGGTTGCTTGCTTTTTAGCGACAGGCCGTAATAATAACCATCAGACAGAGGGATGACTTTTGGTCCTGTCCACCTTGTTACTTAACCCTCGCTACAGTTCAAAAATGGTGGCTTTTTCCCTTTTTCCAACTCACCCTGCTGAGAGGGAGGCCAAAATACATAACGTTTTGTCTGGTTATTCGTTTTTCACCTATGTAGTCAGCTGGTCTCTGCCTGGTCTGCGCCCAAGCCCTGCCGTTGTCTTGCCAACGTCCATCCTCAGACACTGGTGGGCCCTGTGCGGCTCGTGTTCCGCTGCCATGGCAGCAGGGGAGGGGTGGGTCCTGGTGGTAGGAGCAGTGGCAGAACAGCTTCCACCATGCAAGGCTGCCTCAGTCTGCAGGTCGATGATGAGTAGCTTTCTTCACCAGCGCAGTGAGGAAACTACTAACCAGCCGCCGTTTAGCAAGCAGCAGCGCATCAGGTGGACCTGGAGCAGGACCTCAAACAACAGGCTTAGGCCTACTTGGACAGCACCCTGCCAAACGAGTGTAGACAATTCCCCTTGACATTACTGGGCAACGAAACTTGACCTTTTGGGCCCCAACACTTAGCTGAATTTGCTCCTTGAAAGGCTGTCATGGCCCGGCACAGTAGCGTGGCATCGGAGCGCGTGTTTAGTGCGGCAGGAGGTAATTGCATCAACTCCGCGGAGGACACGGACCTGTCCATCCCAAAGTGTGGAGAGACTGGATCGTTTGTGAAAATTGAATCAGGCGTGGATTAGTTGGATTTCAAACCACCAGTTCCTGACACAAAACTGACTAAATCCGCCATGAAGATCATGCCCCAAACCTGAGCTGCCACCTTTCAGGTCTCCTCACACTGCTGGTGTGTTCCCATTTTTTGTCATGTAGGGTGCTGGAGATTACGGGCCTCACCATAGCTGCTGCCAGGCCCCTAATCTGCCATGGGCCCCTACCCTCCGCCTCCTCATGCTGCATGCCAAGTCCAGAGTGTCTTCCATGGGTCCCTGTACGGCCTCCCTTTGCTGCTGCCCTCCAATCGCCCCCCCCACCACTCTGCCCATGTGCCACTTTCAGGTCTCCTCTACACTGCCTGCTGGAGTGTTCCATTTTTTGTCATAGGGTGCTGGCAGATTATCGGGCCCTCCCATAGCTGCTGCCAGTTGGCCCCTATCTGCCATGGGACCCCTATACCGCCTCCTCATGCTGCTGCAGGTCCAGAGTCTCTCATGGGTCCCTGTACGGCCCTCACCACATTGCTGCTGTCTCCATCGCCACACTCTGCCCATGTGCCACTTTCAGGTCTCCTCACACTGCTGTGGGTTCCATTTTTTGTCATAGGGTGCTGGCAGATTACTGGGGCCTCCCATAGCTGCTGCCAGGCCCGTAATCTGCCATGGGCCCCGTACCGACTGCCTCATGTGCTGCCAGGACCGTAATCTGTATGGGCCAACTGTTGTCGCTTGTTGGCATATTCCGCTCGTTCAGATGGCTCTTCTCCTGCTACTCCTCTTCACGGATTCCCGTCAGCAGTCTTTCTTGGAAATCCGTGTTTCCAAGAGATCAACAGTTTGCGAGCACGCACCGACGGTGCAGTCAGAAGTGACACGTCCTCCTGTCCAAGTTGCTGCTGACAGGCTCGTAATCTGTCAGTGCGCCCCTGTACCGCCTCCTCATGTGCTGCTGCCAGGTCCAGAGTGTGTCGATGGGCCCCCGTACCGACTCCTCATGCTGCTGCCAGGCCCGTAATCTGTCATGGGCCCCCCCTGTACCGCGCCTCCCATGCTGCTGCCAGGTCCAGAGTGTGTCATGGGTCCCTGTACGGCCTCCCATTGCTTGCTGCTAAGGCCCGTAATCTGCCCATCGGGCCCCTGTACCGACTCCTCATGCTGCTGAGCCAGGCCCGTAATCTGTCCATGGGCCCTGTACCGCCTCCTCATGCTGCTGCCAGGTCCAGTGTGTGTCATGGTCCCTGTACGGCCTCCATTTGCTGCTGTCTCTATGCGCACACTCTGCCATGTGCCACTTTCAAGGTCTCCTCACACTGATGGTGGTTTCCATTTTTGTCTATAGGGTGCTGTATGGGGCCTCCCATTGCTGCTGCCATTCCACCGCCACACTGTGGCTCCACACTCTGGTTTTGGCCCCGTGACTGCCAAATGAGGCGGAATGTGTCTGTGCGGTGATTCTAAGATCGACTGGCCACTCATCTGCATGTCATACTGACTGACAGTATTATTTCTCTTCTCCCAGCAGACTCCACAAGGGCATTTAAATTAAATGGTACGTGTTCTGCACTCATATTAAGTCTCTCTGAAGCCTAGAAAACACCCTTTTTTAAGTTAAAATTCACAGCGAAATTTATTTTTCGACTCGAATCGAATATTGTGCCACGAATTCGTCCGAATCAGGTCGGAATCGAATTTTTCATTTACTTCGCTCATCTCTAATTATGATAACCACCTGCTGGGTAATGGCCTGGGCATTTCCGCAAAGAGACATTAGAAACCTTCATTGTATTTATAAATGGGGAATGGTATACAGTAAAAAGAATCTTTTTAGCACACGTCAAAAGATTTCTTTAATGAAGTAAACTCACATTGTGCCATGTTTGTCTTTGAGAGATGCTTCATATTATAAAATGTGCTCTGCTCGGTGAATACACGCTAATGCCAAGTAGCAACATGGTATATACAAATAAACGCAGAGCTGTTAAATGTAAGCCTGTGTGAAGACAGAAATAGTAATGAGGTGATGCTTGAAGCAAATTGCCAATTGATAACCTCATATGTGCTCTTCACTTGCTTCGCGCATTGACTTTCTGTCTTTAAAACTGTCAATTTTTTAATCATGGCTCTTGAACATTTTCTTACTGCTTTACACCAAAACGGACACAGTGTTTAAAAAGCATAGCTCTTCTTCCCAATCATCATTGATCTTACAAAAAGATATTTATTGAGCATTTGCAACTGGAAAAAGGTAGTTATTATTTTTTACATCATTATTATTAGTACTATTATTTGATAGTAGTATAGTAGTGAGTAGCAGTAGTAGTATTAACAGCATAGTAATAAAAGCCTTTTATTTTTTATACATTTACATGGAAGCTTTAGAACATGTACAAAATATGAGATATTTTTTCTAAATAAACATTAAGTGGGGTATTTTTAATTCACTTGAAAAAAATCAAACCCAATATGTACATTTGCCCACAAATTAACATTCAACAGATTTTACCCAGCATTATCTGCAGGATTGCTAGTTAAAATCTTGCCAGTGAGAATCTTGATAGTACAGTAGCATGCTATATTCACCTTTGTGGGCAAACATTTAGGACACACTGTGTTATATAAACAGGAGTACATTCATTGGTGGAGATTTGCTATCTGTGATGCTGAAAGTGTGTATAAACACTTTTTCAGAACCATACATGCTTGCCCTCCAGAAGGTTTTAAACCTTCATGACCAGACTATTGTTTTTATTCAGATTACTGCAACTGTACCCTCACAAAATTTATATAATTTTTTAACACAAATAGAGCTTTCTTTTGGTGGTATTTGATCACCACTGGGTTTTTTTATTTTTATTATATAAACAAAAAAAAAGACTGAAAATTTAAAAAAAAAAGGCCCCAATGTTTTTTAACCTCTTGCTATAAAATATATTTGATATAAAATGTAAAAAAATTAAAGTTCTTCATAAATGTAGGCAAAATGTATTCTGCTACATGTCTTTGGTAAAAAAAAAAAAATCTCAAGAAGTGTATATTATTTGGTTATAGCAGCTACAAACTATGGTGTATATATACTGGAATTCATATTTGTTTATACTAGTAATGGGAGGTGGTCAGCAACTTATAGTTGGACTGTGATAGTGTGGTAGGCAACCTGACACTAGCTGATATTGGCTTGGGGTACACCAACTGGCTAACTGACACTGACATCATTAGTGACACTAATATAGTGATCAGTGCTAATACTATACACTGTACTAATGTCACTGGCTGAGATGGGTTTAACATCTAGGGGCGATCAAAGGGGAATAAATAAACAGCAAGATCACCTATCAGTGTACAGAAGAAATCTGTGTTGTTTACAACACAGAGCTCTCT